GTGGCCGTCTGCGAGAAAGTCGTCGACGCTGCTGGACTCAAAGTTATTTTCAGCATGTTCATGAAAAAGACAGACAGTACTGCAACCGAACATTTGATCGGCATATTCGCCTCTCTGCTTCGACTGCTGCCTGGCGAATCTGCCGCTCGCATCCGAACACTCGCAAAGTTCAGCGAGAAGAACTATGAGAAAGTGTCAAAGTTGAACCAGCTGCGCAACGAGTACGCCCGCAAAGTCGAAGCCATCGATAAAGAGATCACGCTGGGACTGTCCACGAGGAGTGCGGAGGAGGCGGAGGAACCAGCCAATGCCATCTTCTCACGGCGACTCGATGGCGGCTTGTTCTGCTTGCAGACTATTGACGTTCTGTTAGCATGGCTTTGTGCAGAAGACACTGGCGCGAGGAAGCTGATAAAAACCGACGTTGGATCGGGTGTCATCAAGCAGAGTCTACAAGATCAGATCGATGGTTTAGATCCTGATGCTGGAAGCGCGGACGACACCGGGGAGATGCTAGGGACGCTGGTGAGCTTCTTGGAGTAGCCGGCTCTGGTACAGTAGCTAGTTCATCACTGCACAGTGCGTGCAGAGAGAGACCCTAGCAACATCTGCTATCTGGCAATGCGTACGCAAGTCACCAATGCCCTATATTTGATATTTATTGTCGGCATGATTCATCCGCCGATGTACCTCGGCTCTTTGCGACACGACTCCAACTACTCTTCGTGTACTAACATCACACAGCCAGCATAATCTATCTTTGGTCATCCAATATTACCGTCGCTGTGCTTGTCTCGAGTCAATAATCATGTCAGCCGCTGGGAAAGCTCGCCTTCAAGCGCTTTCGGAGCAGCTGGTGAAGCCGAGGCAGGACCCAGGCAAGTTTGAGGACATCCCCAGAATACCAACGATCGCTGGGGACGCTGCTGGGCCGTAAGTCGCATCGAAGAATGTTTGCATGCAAATCATAGACTTATGCTGTGATACAGACGCACAAAGGGCAAAGTCGTCATCATCACGGGCGCCAACTCTCCACTGGGCATTGGCAGGGCGGCAGCACATCTCTTCGCTGCCAACGGTGCCAAGGCACTGTTCCTCAATGACTACAATACCGAACACCTAGAAACTCATCAACGAGAGCTCAAATCCTTGTATTCAAATGTTCAGGTTCATATCAGCAAAGTCGATGCCTCAGAGGAGGCTGACGTGCAGCGGGTTGTCGACGACGCGTTGGAGAAATATGGACGCCTTGATGTTTTCTTTGCGAATGCCGGCATCAGTGTAACTATGAAGAGGGTCACCGAGAGTGAGGCGGACGATTTCATGCGAGTGATGAAGGTCAATGCTCTGAGGTGAGTTGATCGATATTCATGCTAGCAGTAGAGTCACTGACCGTATTCCATAGTGTCATGCTTGCTGTCAAGCACGGTGCCAGAGGCATGATGCAGACATCCAAGGAAAAACCATATCCGGGTGGTTCCATAGTCGGCACGGCATCCTCAGCAGGCATACGATCTAATGCTGGAGCAACGGACTATTCCGCGTCAAAGGCCGCCGTCATCAGTATTGTGCAGACTTCGTGCTATCAATTGGCCGGGACTGGCATCCGTTGCAATGCTATCTGCCCCGGGATCATTGAAACTGGAATGACGAGCTTGATGTACGAATATGCAAGGGCGAGAGGTACGGAGAGAAAGATTGGCCAGCTCAATCCGCTACAGAGGGGAGGCATTGCGGACGAGGTCGCTAGAGTAGCGTTGTTCTTGGGCAGCGATGAGTCGAGCTATGTGAACGGTCAGGCGTGGGCGGTATGCGGTGGGCTTACCGCGGGCCACCCCTTCGTTCCTGGGAAGATGGCATGATACAGAGTTGTAGAGTACTGTATGTGCTCAAGAGTCCCGCCGATGATAGGTTCGTTGCGTCGCACTTGGCTCGGCACATGTCAGCAAATGACATAGCTGTCAGAGTCGTGCATCGGAAGCATCGCAAGATCTACTGGGCGTTTCAGACATTGTTAGCGGCACACGTGAAAGACGGCAGCTACTTGGGCCTTGGCACGCTTCTTGGAAGAGGGCGGAGCCAATTTTAGCTGTATGATAGATTACGTGGACGGCATCTGACTCCTTGCCACGGCCGAAGCACAAGCATTCCAACCTGTAGGCAAAGCATACATAACATCTGACTCAATGACGTACTCCGTCGAGACGAAGCGCTTCTAAAGGGACAAAGTACTATGGTGGATAGCTCCCCTTGCACAATGAGGGCTGTTCGCGTCATGTAGTCTGATCGCCGAAACTTGCGTATTTACAATGGAGCGCGAGCATGCAGCACTGTGAAAGCTCCCAGGCCCACAGCACCCCGCGATGATGTTCATCGGCAGCAGTGCTGATGTAGTGCAAGCGTTGTTGGTGTGACATGCACGTTGTACGGGGAATGTCGGTCGAGTGAATTCCTTAGCGATGTAAATTTCGTGATCGTTATACAGAGGTCATGATCATATCGTACTAGTCGTTTGACGGAACACCTCGCACGCAACCCACGTCAACCCACAGGTCTTCAGGCCTTGAATCACACAAAACTCTCATGACATTCAATCCTCTGCCCCTCTCAACCAACGTCCCAAGTCTATGCATCTGCGGTAGGTTGTCGCAGAGAAGTGGCGGCTCGATTGACTGGTGGTGTCACGATGAGTCGCTGCGTTAGCGGGCCAGCAAGAGTCCAGTTGCCGGGTTGGTATCGACTTTAGGACATTGTGACTGTGGTATCCCGTTGCGCAGTTTGTTGTTGAAAACGCTCGTAGGTAGTTGCGACGTCGGGGCCACGCTGCTGATCGGCATGGTGGCCTTCGAGTGTAGGTGCTGCAATTCTTCACATTGGTAGCCCCTTGCAGAGCTTCAACGATTCTCCGGCTTCATCGATCACGTCTTTGACTTCTTCAGAGAGAAGGGCCGTAACCTCGTCCTGACGGGTTCCAACGGCGAGGTTGGTGATGATGTTGGACTTCGTACAGGCGATGTCGATGCCGACTTGTCGCTTAGGCTGCTGATACTGCTTGATGATTGGGAGCGTCGGCGAGTCTCTGCGAGTGTATCCTCCAGGCTGACATTCTCATGGGAGTAAGGGACGCTGGTTTGGTCGAGGATCTCGACAAATTTCGACGAGGTCATGGCGATATTGCTAGTGGTCGTTCTGCCTTGAAGATGTTGGTTGCTTCGGCAGACGTGCTGTGTTCAAGAAATAGTGAGGACAACAGCAAGGCAATGGTGAGAGGAAATGTGGTGTGGAGCATAAGACCGGGAGGATCAGCATAATAACAACTGCGAATGCAAAACAGCCAAAGTCGCAAGGGTCCTGTCACGCTTGAGGGACCAGGCCAACTCCCGACGTCAGAGGTGGGATAGTCTAGGGCCCCTCGTCTTCTGCGGAAGGTACGGCCGGCTCGGCGTGCGGCATTGTTACAGCTCCTACAGATATGACGGCGTTGCTCGCAGCGAAACAAGCTGCGGCTGTTTGACGCGTTTTGGCTTCTGAGATCTGCCATGGATTCGTCAGGCCAGCACGCGGATGTGTCGATCGCGCCAATCCGTCTGGGCCTCTTTTGCTGGTACCCGGTGTCCGAACCACCGAATCCTCGCGAGTCGCAGCTTCCCATACACAACACACGGTATCGTACGGCGGAGCAGGATATTCGGGTTGTGTGACGGAGACATTCATGGTACATAGCTGACGATGAATATGACCTGGCATGGGTGGTGATACCTGCTCATGCGCAATCGACGCGTCGATCGGCCTACGCCGGCCCAAGATCTCGTTAGGCCGCCATACAGCCATCGACGTGCGAGGCGTCAGCGCAAACAAAGGGCTGAATCCTGAGGCAGCAAATATATTTGCATGAGTCTCTTCCGATAGCGAATGATGGTTTCCTGCCGATCGGTAGGTTGATTCCTGAGGCTGCAAGTAAACATCCCCGGGAGCGACAGTCCAGACCGCTTCTAGTGCACAGTCTCGATTCCTGATACAGGCTAGGCTCTGGTATCTGAGAGATGGCAGATGCATGACTACATAGTAGGTAATCCATATTCTAGCAATACTTTGGGCCCAGCAATTGCAATGGCCGTTCTAGAACACATAATCGCCAAAATCCGGGCAAATTTACCGCACATCAACCACTACGCTAGGAATTGGATTCAAATAGTACATGCTTTGCTAGAGAACGCCCAGCACTTTGGCGGTAGAAGAAGTCCAGAACGGATCTGTGAGAGTGTAGAGCGTGTGTGAGATCAGTCATCCAGACAGTAGACTTAGGCCAAGCGAAAGGTGTTAGCAGGTAGTCTATCGAGAAACTGTCGAGGCTCCAAATAGAATTTAATCAGCACTTTGGCACACTTTTGAACGACAGAACTGATATGTACGTTCGTTTGCAAGATGTACGATCCTATGAATGAGGCACTCGAACTTGCGAGGTTGTATACAATGATTCCATCGGGGCTTATGAATGTCCTACTCCGGAGGAAAGCGCTAAAGGTCCGGCCGGGCAGCAAATACTTTTACTACCTTCTACCCAGTCCCACACTTTCACATTTCTATGTCAAAGGGTTTAGCAGCGCCGGGCTGTACTACTTTATCCCCTCTCTTAATTGCTACCATCCTCCCGGCCTCAACCAAATCAAGGGTCTCGCAAGCGCGGGTAGTCCCGAGCTAATAGAACCACTCACTAGCTTTGCCCTCTCCTAGAGACTGTCCCTATAGTAGAGATATAACAGTATTAACCCTTTAGTAGCTCTGATAATTAACCAGACCATTTTTATGCTTATGCGACAAGATTCTTCAATTCGCGCCCCTTTTGAAACGCAAATAAGTACAAATATGCAATGTGTAAAAAGGGTGAAAAGTGCAAGAATGTTGGATCTTGCAGTGCCGTTTCACATCTAGGGTCTACTGGAAACGTTTGGTGATATATACTAAACTAAAAGTTTAATCGTTGACAACTTCTGGTAAACGATATTGTGTCCGAGTGGTTATGGAGCTGCGTTTAGGTTTCCCTAAGCATATTCCGCAGTGGCTCTGCCTCGCAGGTTCGAATCCTGCCAATATCAAATCCTTTCGCGCCTGTTCCCGAAGTTTTTTTGGGTTTCGCACTTGTCCCACAGCTTATCTATACGATAGTATTTTTTTTTTTGCCTTCTTAGCTGTAGCTAGAAGGTAGGAGGTGGGGATATATGCCTTTAGGACGCACAGCCTACGAGATTCTCATGCGCATGCGTCTGCCACTTTTCCTCTCGGCTTGGCAGATCCCACACCTCGAGAACGTATCGCCGCCCCCACTCGCGAACCTGGCGAGTTTGCATACATCGTCGACTAATCATTGATGGATTGATCGGTTCAAGGACTGATTTTAGTAATGGTTGGTTGATCGGTTGAGTGGTTAGTAGCAGCCGAAAATTCAACCAGGTGTCGTGACGGCGTTAATCCTTTTTTCTTTTTTTGGCCTCTCGGAGGTCGCTTGTCACTGAAGCAATTTTGTGCTTTTTGCTCTGCTGGTCATAGCCAGGAGGCGCGGACATGGCAGCAGACAAGCAGTCACAAGCCGCCCAACCTGTTGCAGTTCGATCCGCAGCCTGAGAGAATGCGGCGGCAGTGATCTTGGCATGCTCTTCAGAATCTGCAGGTAAAAAAGATGCCAAAGTCTGCTCCACTCACGCTGCGGGATGACAAGGGGCTTGCCGGCCACTTGTTTCATAAAGCCCTTCTCCGATTTCGAGCAGTAGCAATCCCAAAGACCACAATGCCCTGCATCTGTCACCTGAGACAGTGAGCTACCAAAGGCGACAGGTAGGAGTATCAATTTCCATGTGTTTGCGGCGATTGGCTACCTGAGGCATTCGATCTGTTGACCCTGACAAAGACAAGGGCAGTACCGACACTGAGCAGGCAGAGCTTGGAAGAGTGATGCAGATCTGAACAGTATTGCGAAAGCGACTCTTGATTTATACAGGAGATCACATTAACGCAGCTATAAGAATCACATTATTAAGTCCATCTTCATATACAAACCCTTCTTCTTTTCACACGCCATTTCAACGAATGTATGGAGCTTGTGGTATACATGGCCACTTAACAAGACAACCAGCATCCCGCCTCGCCCAGTTGCGTGCTGCGCCACTACTTGATCTCGATCAGGCCGGGAGCGAAGATGGTGTCATCGGCGACCTTTGAGATGTCGGGGAAAGGTCCCTTGGTCTTGGTCACGGCGGCGATAGTGAGACCGTACGCGAGCATGGTCTCAGCTTTGAACTCGGCCTCGAATGTGATGAAGCAGCCGTCGACCACGACGTGGCAGACCGGAACAGTGACTGGGACGTTCTGGCCGTTGATGTACGACACGTACCAGGTGCTGGCCTCCTCGGCGGTAACATTGCTGACAACGGAGAAGTTGAGGGTCTGGTCCTTCAGCTCGATATCCATGGTGGTAATGGTCAGAGCATCGAACTGCGGGATCGGGATGATGTCCTTGTTCGGACAGCTGCCAGGGACAACGACGAGCTGGTTAAGTGCGGACCAGGCGAAGCGACCGACCGCGCCCGTCAGGAATGGTTGCGACGACGGGATCTGCTTCAGGTAGGAGCGGTAGTAACCGTTTTGTTCGCCTTCCTGGCCGATGACGGAGCCGACGAGAGGGACCAGCGCGTCATCCCCGAGGGTGGCGAACAGGCCTTGGACATCCTGGAGCGCGCCCAGAACAAGGTCGGTAAACGTCGAGGCAAAGCGCATGGCGGAGTCGAGGTCGGCGCTCGGGAAGACATATTCGCACGGCTGGATGGCCTGGTGGCCCGTTGCGGCCAAGATGCCATTGGCGCCGAGAGCGTGAAGCTCTTCCTGAGCAACCACGGCCTTCAAGGCGTCTACCAGGTAGGTCTTGGCGCTTTCCGGCTCGATGTGGAAGCCCTCGACGTCGTCGGTGATGTTCTTGATCAGACTGCTGAAGAAGGCCACTTCGAAGAACTCGTTGAAAGCAACCAGGCTCAGCACGATGACGCTCACATCATCGATCTTGGATGGTGGAGGCCCATTGGGAAGTGTGCCTGCGGGGTGAAATCACATGTTAGCGGGGTTGCCCAGGTCTGCCATGTACAGCGTTGAGATGTGTGAGATCCTCGCGTATTATTGACCGAACTGACACATTCGCTTGCCTGAATAGGATTGCGAGGCCACGGTCTGTTTAAAGTGTCAACCAGACGATATGTTGCGCCGGGTTGTTGAATGAATCACCGTGGGTCTGTACATACCGTGTGCAGCTTTCTCGATCTCGAGCAGCGCGTCGCTGCTGACATTCGGGAAGCCGTTCTCCAGAGGGAATGAGAAAGGCTCCTGTCCGTCGTACACTACCGGTCCAACTCCCGGGCATGTGTCGTTTGGTGGCGGCATGGGGCAATCGTCGCAATAGGGCTGGGGTTGCGGTGTCGGTGTCGGTTCCGGGCAATCGTGACATGGTGGCGGGCTCGGTAAAGGCGTCGGTGGGGTACAATCGTCACAGTATGGCTCCGGTTGTGGGGTTGGTGACGGTTGTGGGGGGTTGTCGTAAGAATCCGGTATATCACGGGTGTCATATGAACCCTGTGGCAGAGCAGAAACGGCAGCAGCACAGAGGAGTGCGACGGTGGTAACGAAGGCCTTCATCTTGTCGTGAGTGTCCGATGTAAGTGAATGAATGAATAAAAGAGAGGATACGTCCGACAGACGTTCTAAAAGTTGAAGCAAAAGTCCCTGAGCGTAGCTGCTGGTTGAGAACCGGGAGGGAGGAAGGAGCGATCGAGACCGGGCGTCTATATACCTTTTCGATTTCAGTTCAATAAATTGCGTGAGTACTTCGTTACAAGTCGTTCGAGCTTGACAGGATCAACTCTGCTCAATGTGCTCGTCCGGCTGTTTAGGCTTTCTTTCTTTAAGACATCCATTTCCGAAGACCCCAGCCGTGATGCGCCTGAACCTAGAGACCAAGAGATACAAGCAAATAGAGTCCTACGGTCCCATGTGATTGATGGCGGTGTTTATTGCTCACCCACAACAGTGCAATTTCAACAGCAGCGTCTTGCTGGATTCATAACGCGCATCGGCAGGTGTAGCTTGTTGGCGTTCAGCCTGGAGATGCTTACCAGGGCTCCGCTGATGCTCACGCCAACTACAGTCAGCATCTTATCTCAAGTGATGATGTCGTATCCTCCAATCACGGCCCATCCTACCGCTACCGTATGTGACGAGGGCATCCTCGAGGAGATCCTAGACCCGTTCTCCGTCGCATATTTGACCAATAGGTCGTCATCTCATCAGCTTGGCATGTATTTCTATGACTATGGCGCTGTGAGCCTGACGCTAGCGATATAGCCCGTTGTGGTCTGAAGTTGTTGTGGAAATAATAAGCAAAGCTGTTCTGAGTTCTGACAGTTCATCGACGAGGGTCCTCGGGCGGAAATCACGGCGCCAAGCGGAAGCCGAAGCGGTTAAAGTTATGCTTTCTCGGCAACGCGGAGGGGCTGTCCTCCTTTCATGTTCGTACGACCGTAACATTCAGCGACGAGTACATACCGCTTTGCATACTCGTCCACAATAGCGTGTCTCGAATTCTTCCTACGTGATTGGCCATTTCGGCGAAGGAGGTCGCGATTCACAAAAACGAGTGGTCGATATACCATGCACATAATGCTGAGACCAGTGCGTCAAACCCCCTGCTGAACTGTCCGTTGGAAAGGCAAAAGGATCTTTTCACCTGAAGTTCGTTGAGCTGGCCACTGAGCGCCGAATGGACACAACTCATCACACGCCAATGACTTGCATCACAAGCTTACAGAAGCTTTACTCCCGAGGCAGCATGAGCGGGGCTCTGCATCGGCCAGAGATCTTTGGGTGTCATACAGCGTGTAGAAACAAAGTCCATTGGATCCGCCTCCGAGTGCACTCGCCCAGTACATAGATCAGGATAAGACTCTGACCGGGAGCGCAGTGGTTGGTGATGGATGCTCAGCATGGTATATTGCGGTCCACACCTGGGGAATGAACAATCTCAGTGATATGAAGACCGACATGACGAGATCTTGCCCCAGTCTGACTCCTGCTATTCTCAGAGCTGAGTGCTTCGTGAAGACACGTCCGATCCTGACATACCTCGCGGAGCAGCACGCCTGAGCTTCTGACGGACCTCCTCCAGGTAACGTGAGGTGCAGGCGTCCCTACTCAGCAGCAGGAGGATCCGTTCGAGGTCCGCTCGCTCGAAGATATGCTCGCTTCGCTCTTCAAACTCGCACAAGCTTCTTCAGCACCTCCACACCGACCTGCAAAATCGCCGGAGTCCTACTTTCCTTCAAGCTCTCCTTCAGCACATTGACGCCTCCCGCCTCCTTGACCATCTTCTTGCCCTTTTCACCAACCTCACTCGGAGCGCTAACGATATTCAGGACACAGGCAAGACCTCTGTGCAGGACCTCCTCATTCTCATCTCGGCAAAGATCAAGCAAGGCCTTGATCCCTCTGGAATCTTCGGCAGATAAGACAGCGGAGACCGCAACATCCCATTGCGTTAGCGCGGCGAGTGCACCGCCTGCGGCTCGTCGTGTCGCAAGGTCTTCGAAATCGGTGAGGGCGAGGAGGATCAAGAGTCGCCGCTTGGAGTCGTTCGAGCCGTCTGCGAACTTCGCGACACAGGCTGGTGCAGCCATGAGATTGCATACGAGCTCGACTGTGGCCCGTTGGATCATGCGGTTAGGATTGAACAGCAGATCTTCAATTTTGTCAAACACAGAGCGGACGATTAGGTCGCGAGGAGTGTCTTCTTCTATTGACGCCAGATTTGTAAGAGCTAGAAGGGCTTCGAAAGTCGGTAGCAAGTCTCTTTGCTCGCTATCGCTGTCAACCGACAAGAGCGGCAGGAGGGCACTGACTGCTGAGGATGCCGGCAGGGCGGATGTGAAGACATGAGCTGGGTTGACTGATATGAGTAGACGCGCCAAAGCATGCGAAGCGCTACGCTCGATGACAGCTGCCTCCGCAGTCGACTTGTCTGTCTTTGCGATTCGGTCTCGAATCTGAAGCAGAAGCTTGATAG